ATATTTTAAAGAAATAGGTTTTCATTTTATTGTGAAATTAGTGGCTTGTTAATCAGAGTAAGCCAATCACAAAAAGATAAATACTTCATGGTTGCATTTATGTGTGGTACCAAAAGTAGTCAAATTCATAGAGACAGAAAGTAGAATGGTGGTTGCCAGGGGCTAGAAGAAAGAGGGGAGGGGGAATTATTAAGGGATACCAGTTTCAGTTTTGCAAGATGAAAGAGTTCTGGAGATTGGTTGCACAATAATGTGAATGTATTTAACATTACTGCACTGTACACTAAAAATATAGTTACAATGGGTTAATTTTGTTATGTATTTTTACCTCAATTTTTAAAAATAGATAATTGAAAAATAAAAATATCAGTGGTAAAAAGTGGGATTATTCAATAAAAGAACAACTGAGTAACCATCTGGAGGAAAATATGGATCAATACCTTACACAAATATTACAGGTAGATAAATGATTACAAGCCCAGCTGGTGTGGCCCAGTGGTTGAGCATCAACTTATGAACCAGGAGTTTACGGTTTGATTCCCCATCAGGGTGGTTTCAGACTCGCCCCCCAGAAGGGGTATGCAGGAAAGCAGCCAATCAAAGCTTCTCTGTCATCATTGATGTTTCTATCTCTCCCTCTCCTTCCCTCTTTGAAAAGGAAGGAAGGAAAGAAGGAAGGAAGGAAGGAAGGAAGGAAGGAAGGAAGGAAGGAAGGAAGGAAGGAAGGAAGGAAGGAAAAAGATTACAGTATAGCCCAAGCCAGTGACTTAGTTGGTTGAGCATTATCCCGAATACATCCAGAGGTCACGGGGCACAAGCCCGTATTGAAGGCTCGATTCCCCCACCAATGTTCCTCTCTCTCTCCCCCCATCTCAAATCAATAAGAAAACATACTTAAAACAAAAGATTGCAGTGTAAAAAATGAACTCAAAGAAACCTTGAAGTTTTTAACCTTTTTATTGTGAATAATTTTAGACCTACGGAAACTGCAAAAATGGTACAAAGTTCCTGAGTATCCTTTACCCAGCTTCTCCAAATATTAACAGCTTGTGTAGCCATCCTATGTAATAATAGACAAACATGGTAATTGGCCGTACCTTTGCTACGCCTCCCATTGGCTAATCAGCGTGATATGCAAATTAACCAACGATGGCAGCTGCTAATTTGCATACTGCAGGCAGGGCAGGTCAGCGACATCCCACCTGCCCTACCGCCATCCGGGCCTGCTATCTGCGACCCGGGGCGGCGGGTGTCCCATGTGCGACCGGACCCGGGGCAGCGGGGTGGGACAGCGTGGCTCCTTTGTCACCCCAGCTTCTTCATCACAGCTCACTTGGGGGCCTAAGCCTTTAGTCGGACATCCCCCGAGGGCTCCCTGGCTGCCAGAAGGATGTCTGACTGCAAGCTTAGGCCTGATCCCCCGGGGAGTGGGCCTAAGTAGACAGGTGGACATCCCCCAAGGGGACCTGGACTGCAAATCGCAGGCCGGGTTGAGGGACCCCCCCCCAAGTGCACAAATTTTTGTGCACTGGGCCTCTAGTCTATATATATAAAAGCTAAGCGACCAGAAGGAATGGAAGGATAGGTCACTATGACGCTCACTGCAGACAGCCAACCAGCCCAATGGGGGCGGGGCCGACCGGCCAACCTCCCGCAGCCCCTCCCCTGGCTTGCCCCACAGATGGGGCCCCTATCAGGGCGGGTCAGCCAGACCCCAGCTGGACCCCACCCGTGCACAAATTCATACACTGGCCTCTAGTGGTATAGTAATTGAAACAGGAAATTATCATTGATACAATACTATTAACTAATCAACAGGTCTTATTTAAATTTTGCTAGTTTTCCAACTAATGCCCATTGTCATTCAGGATCTAATCCAGGGTTTCACATTGGATTTAGTTGTCATGTCTCCTTAGCCTTTTCCAATCTGAGACAGTTCCTTGGTTGTTGTTTTTTTCCCCCTTGACACACTTCAAGAATACTGGTGAGTTATTTTGTGGAATGTCTCAGTTTGGATTCGCCCAGCGTTTCCTCATGACTAGGTAGGTTATGCATTTTGGGCAAGAATACCGCATGCAGAAGTAAATAGTTTAGAATGGGGGAGACATTTCTAAATATGAAAACAAAACACAGAAGTCACAAAAGAGAAGACATACATTTGAATATATATTAAAATGTTAAATGCATGCATGGCAAAAGTTAAAAGATAGATGACAATCAAGGGAAAATAGAATTCATATTGCAGAGGAAGGGCTAACGTTGATACATACTATCTCCTACAGATCTATAAGAAAAATACCAACCCAATAAAAATGTACAAAAATATGTATGGACATTTTACAGAAAAGGACACATAAACAACTCTCAAATATATTGAAAGATGCCTAACCTCATTCACCATAAAAAAATGCAAATCACCCTGCCTGGTGTGGCTCAGTGGTAGAGCCTCAGCCTACACAGCGAAGGCTTGTGGGTTTGATGCAGGTCAAGGGCACATTCCTGGGTTGGAGGTTTGTTCCCCGTGTGGGAGGCAACCAAGTAATGTGTGTCTCTCTCAGACCCATATTTCTCTCTCCCTCCTTCCCTTCCTTTCCATTCTCTCTAAAAAAAAATAAAAGAAAAATGCCAATCATGTTTAATTTATATTTGTAATGACCAAAAAGTTTCATAGAAAGTTGGAGAGGGTATGGGTTTAAGTAAGCAGGCCTCGCCTGTTTGCTGGTGGGAGTAATAATTGGAAATATATCCACAAAAAGCAATTTGGCAATATCCATCAAAATCAATAAAAATTACAAGTGCCCATACCCTTTGACCTAGGATTTTCATTTATAGGAATTAGCCCTACACATTTGCATATAGGTGAAATGGGAATGTGTGGATTATTTATTTATTTATTTATTTATTTTGTAGTTTAGTTTGTATTGGAAAAGATTGGAAACAATCTAAATGTCAATAGGGGATTGGTTAAATTATGTTACAGTGTAATACTATGCACGGGGCGGGGGGGGGGAAGCAAACTTTATATACTGTTATGGAATGATCTCCCAGTTACCTGACTAAACTAAGGCACAGAAGAGTTCATATGCTGTAGTTTGCTTCCCTTTGTGTAAACGAGTGGAGAGCTGTGAGCACAGAACATCTGTGGAAGGAGGCACAGGGAGAGGGAGGCCTGGTTGTTGGGTGGCAGAAGGTGGGTAGCTGTGAGACAGGGTTGGAGAGAGACTCCCTCCGTCTGCTCTTTGAACTTTAGGAATTTGAACCACATAAATTAAAAAAACCAACAAACATACAAACTATAATATTTAAAAATAATATGAGCCTGCAGCTGCTTATCTTCCCTGTTCGGAAATGAAGCTGAGTCAGAGGCTAGAAAAGGAGAGACAGCCTTGCTGACACGTGAGCACCTGGATCCTGCCGTTTCCGGTTACGTGAGCCCTCAGTCTTTCTTCCTTTTGGTTGACGTCTGTTTGAGCCGTTGTCACCATGCAGGAACTTCGTGTCTTTAATACGAGCCCTTCTGAAAGCATTTAAGATAATGATATGGTATATGTTGTCAGTTTGACTCAAACTCTTATTTTAAAAAAGACCCTTTCGCCCTAGCTGTTCTGGCTCAGTGGATAAAGCGTCAGCCTGCAGACTGAGGGGTCCTGGGTTCCATTCTCGTCAAGGGCACTTGACCCGGTTGCAGGCTCGAGCCCCAGTAGGGGGCGTGCAGGAGGCAGCTGATCAATTATTCTCTCTCATCACTGATGTTTCTCTCTCCCTCTCCCTTCCTCTCAAACTCTCTTAAGAACAAAGCCGCCGGTCTGCTGACCACAGAAACAAGAGTTTGGTCTAGCTACAGATAACATTGTGGCTTCAGTTGTGGTTCAACCCCAGGCCCAGGAAAGCACAATGGCCCGATAAACCACATCCTCATGAAACCAGACAG